AATGTTTTTAAAAATCTCCATGTTACAGAGAGGGAAGCTGAGAGTCAGTGGCTCTCTCCCATCATGGATGGTTCCTCTCTCTCTCTCTCTCCCTCTCCCTCCCTCTCCTCTACCTTCCTGTCTGAAATCAATACAAATATATTTTTAAAATCTCCATGTTACAGAGAAAAAAGCTGATGTGAACGGAAGGGGTCTTTGTCCTGTTTATCACATCAGGACAATGAACAGATGGAATGAATGGACTGGCGGGGTCCCCGTCCTCTCCACCCGGAATGGAGCGCTCCCATCTCAGGCCTGGGCCCCGCTGACCCAGCCCCCGGGGGTCCCCGCGTGGGAGCCGGCCCTGCCTCGGCCTCCACCCGCGCCCTGACGCGCTCGCCACTGCTCTCCTTCCAGGAGATTCTCCGTGCAGAGATGTGCCCGCTGCCACCTGGGCATCTCCGCCTCCGAGATGGTCATGCGCGCGCGCGACGCCGTCTACCACCTGAGCTGCTTCACCTGCTCCACCTGCAGCAAGACGCTGGCCACGGGCGACCACTTCGGCATGAAGGACGGCCTGGTCTACTGCCGCGCGCACTTCGAGAGCCTCCTGCACGGAGAGTTCCCGGCGCCGCTGAGCTACACGGAGCTGGCGGCCAAGGGCGGCGGCCTGGCGCTGCCTTACTTCAATGGCACGGGCACCGTGCAGAAGGGGCGGCCTCGCAAGCGGAAGAGCCCGGCCCTGGGAGTGGACATCGTCAATTACAGCTCAGGTGGGTGCCCGCCGCTGCCCTCCATCCCTACACCCCACAGGGCTCCTGCCCATCCTGGATCTGGTTCCCAGAAGCCCTGCTCCTGGCTGATCCCTGTCCCTGGGATGGAAGGAGGAAGAGGGAGAAGGGTGATGGGGATGGAGAAGGAGAGGGAGGAGGGGGAGAGCGACAGGGAGGGAGGGAGAGAGGGGGGACCCTTTATTTAAGTTGTGGCCAGAAAAACACACTGGTCGCCACGGGTTCCAATGGCTTCCCCCAACAGGGAAGTCAGGTTCTGGGTTGCCCATTAGTTAAGGAGCCCATTAGCATCTGGCTCCCACTCCCAGCCAAACAGCCCCCGGGCGATTCCTGGGTGGAAGCCACTTTATAGATCCTGGAGAAGGTTTCCCTAAATACAGAAGAAAAAAACCTCCAGAGCCCAACCCCCCTCGGCCCTGGGGGGTGGGGTGGGGGCAGAGGCTGCGGTCCTAGCCCCAGTTGGTTAGGAAAGCGGTTGGCAAGAGTGTGGAAAAGCCATCCTGAGGTTGGTGAGGGATGCCCGTGGAGGGTGAGCTGGCGGCTCCCTCCGTAGGTAGGTCAGGCTCCAGGCCGGCCAGCTGTTCGCCATGATAAGCCAGCCCGACGAGCAGGCCGGGAAAGTGGAGAGAGCCTGCAGGTGAGGCCCACTGGGGGGTGGGGGGGTGTCTCCGTGTCCTGGCTGCTCTTGGCCCTCCACTCACCTCCTCTTTTAATTGAAAACAAAAGGCAGGTCAGGCCACCGTGCTCCTCTCTTCCTTGCGGTTGGGGACACACGGATCAGTCGCCATCTCTCTCACTCGCCCAATTCCTATTGTTAGTAGCTTGTACCCCCTGCCGCCCCCTGGTGAGGATGGGGACAGGCCTGGGGACCCCAGTCGCACTCTGCATAGGATAGAGGCCCCAGCCACTGGGAAAAGGGGTTCCAGTGGCCCTGGGCCAACTTTGGGGAGTCTAAGGACCCGCCCTGTGGATGTGACTTCCCAGGCCCTGGTCCGGCTCAGGCTGGGACCCTCACGGGGGGAGGGGGACTCGGCCTAGAGGAGTCGCTCTGTTGGAAGGGGCCTTGGGGACCACGTTGTGGCAACCCCACTCTGTTGCCATGAGCGGGAATATCAGCCGGGGCTCGGGCACCCCAGAGCGCACACAGATGTCTAGTTTTCTCATCCCCCAGCGACTGGTAGGGCACCTGGTCTTTCTTCTGGCTCCACAGTGTCCCACCCACCAGGGACGTGCTTTGTCAAGGTCAGGCAGCAGGGGGGAGCGAGTCCTGCTCCAAGGAGCCCCGAGTTTCCAGGGTTGGACCCGGTGGGTGCGGGGGCTCCCCAGCGCGCTCGTCCCCAAGAGAGAGGGGATGGGGGCCCAGTGCGGCTGCAGCTGTCCCCGTGGTTTCACGCCAGGGTCACTGGGCAAAGGAAGAAGGGCTCCCCGCTCCGCAAGGGGCCCACCAGGCAGGTTAGTGTTGGGTGGTGGGTGACCCGGTTTTGCCAAACCCGGTAGGTAGAGGGTCTTAGCTTCCGGCTCTTCCCGCTGCACTTCGGTGAGGGCTCTGGTTCCCGACCACTTGGCCCAGCAAATGACCTGGTGTCATTGGGTGCGTGGCTCCCGGCAAGACAGCTGGGCAGGAATTGTTCTTTATTAATAGACGGCGACATTGGAATCTGGGGCCACTCAGCAAGGCCCTAATTAGAGAGAGAGAGAGAGAGAGAGAGAGAG